TTCTCTAATGTGAGATAGGTACCCATCAGAGCTGGGTGGACTCAGGGACGTTCTACTGACTTGAACCTGGTTCTGAACTCGAGACTTTTGAGTTATCAGTCTAGTGCTGTACCGAAAGGCCACGCTGTCCCCACAGTATTTAAATACATTGTCTTTTTCTTCCATTTTTAATATTAATAATTTATAATTAGGATTTTTTTTATATTTAAAATTCAATTTTAACTATATTTGTAACTACGGAACTTAAACAATAAAATATGTAGCAAATTGAGTCATATAGATCTCTGTTGAATTTTTGTATTTTAGAAAAGTTCGCTTTGTCCAGTAGCCTATATAAGGTAATAGCTTCTATAACAATTGACACACTTTCGCAGTAGGTGCTATATGAGATGCGTTAATTGAAGGCTGCCTCCAGCCACTGTAAGGTTTTCCACACTATGTTTCCTATCCCGAAATGTCAGGGGGGTAATGCGAAATTGACAAATCAATAACTCAGATAAAAAGTCAAGAGAAGATAATCTTGAAATCAATTTTTTTAAATGTTTTTTTATCTGTTATTTCCCTTGTCGATCGTTCAAACCATCTTCTTGCTAGGATTAAAATAGATGTAAATCTAGTTTAGTAAGATTATGTAAAGCGAGGTTTTTTATTCCACCCTCTCGATTTGTTTCCTGTTGCCCCCCCCCCCCCCTCCTACTCGTCCAATTTACTACCCCTCGCTCCCATGAAAGTTGTTTAACCATCCCCCTCCCCTCAGTGTTTTCTCACCCTCCCTCTGTCTACCACAACTACCCCTCACCCTCCCTCTGTCTACTACAACTACCCCTCACCCTCCCTCTGTCTACTACAACTATCCCTCACCCTCCCTCTGTCTACTACAACTACCCCTCACCCTCCCTGTGTCTACTACAACTACCCCTCACCCTCCCTCTGTCTACTACAACTACCCCTCACCCTCCCTGTGTCTACTACAACTACCCCTCACCCTCCCTCTGTCTACTACAACTACTCCTCCCTGTGTCTACTACAACTACCCCTCACCCTCCCTCTGTCTACTACAACTACCCCTCACCCTCCCTGTGTCTACTACAACTACTCCTCCCTGTGTCTACTACAACTACCCCTCACCCTCCCTCTGTCTACTACAACTACTCCTCCCTGTGTCTACTACAACTACCCCTCACCCTCCCTCTGTCTACTACAACTAACCCTTCACCCTCCCTCTGTCTACTACAACTACCCCTCACCCTCCCTCTGTCTACTACAACTAACCCTTCACCCTCCCTCTGTCTACTACAACTACCCCTCATCCTACCCGTGTCTACTACAACTACCCCTCACCCTCCCTGTGTCTACTACAACTACCCCTCACCCTCCCTCTGTCTACTACAACTAACCCTTCACCCTCCCTCTGTCTACTACAACTACCCCTCATCCTACCCGTGTCTACTACAACTACCCCTCACCCACACGTTACCGCCGACCAACTAGCCACTATCATGCAACCAACCCAATTTCTAATCACAAATTAAATTATTGTCCTGCTATTAAACCACTAACCCCCCCCCCCCCCCCCCTCCTGTTCCCAGCAACCATACTTTACCCGCCCATTGAACATCACTAGCATTTAACAAGCATTAGGATGTAAATCATCTTCTGCGACGCTCACCATTTTCTCCTGATGTAAATATTGTGATGTACAAACTATCAGGATGTCAATTCTTGTAATGTTGATACTGTACGGATGTCAAATCTTGTGATGTTGATACTGTATGGATGTCAGTCTACTGTTGACACTGTGAAGTGTTTGACCTCGCTATAAATAGGCCTCATATGTTTACCCTGCTCACGACATGAATTAAACATACATCTCACCCGCGTGTGTTTACCCTGCTCACGACTTGAATTAAACATACATCTCACCCGCATGTGTTTACCCTGCTCACGACATGAATTAAACATACACCTCACCCGCATGTGTTTACCCTGCTCACGACATGAATTAAACATACACCTCACCCGCATGTGTTTACCCTGCTCACGACATGAATTAAACATACACCTCACCCGCATGTGTTTACCCTGCTCACGACATGAATTAAACATACACCTCACCCGCGTGTGTTTACCCTGCTCACGACATGAATTAAACATACATCTCACCAGCGTGTGTTTACCCTGCTCACGACATGAATTAAACATACACCTCACCCGCATGTGTTTACCCTGCTCACGACATGAATTAAACATACACCTCACCAACAACTTGACAAAAAACTTCCAGTTCCGGTCACGTGTCAGCCACATTAAATTTATGCACGTGTAACGTCGTTTCTAAAAGTGTCGACTTCCGCCTGTTTTTGCCGCGGCATTAAAGTGCATGTCGGGACTGACCTCAAAGGATGACCTTCGCTGGCTACATCTTGGTAGGAGTGAGCGAGACATATCTAGCGCTAGTGTTTACATCTAATGGGTCGAAAACAGTTTGGTTTATTACTAAGCTTTGGAGACAGACGCACGCTAATATGATTATCATTTACTTTTTGAATTTAATACTTTTAATGACAAAGAAGTTTTAAATATAAAATAAAACGGAAAGTTGACATTAAAAAAAATAAGTAGAATAGTTCGCCCCCGAATGTATATAGAAAATATATACTTTTAACAGTATCCCCCCCCTGTATCAATAGTGTAGTCCCCCCTGTATTAATAGTGTAGTCCCCCCTCCCCTTCGATCATAGTGTATTCCACTCCTCCCCTGTATCAATAGTGTAGTTCCCCCCTGTATCAAAAGTTTAGTCCCTCCTGTATCAAAAGTGTAGTGTTGACCCCCCCCCCCCCTTGTATCACATTAAATCCAAATTTCATATTCTCTACTCCGACTTTGTTCGACCAATTTTACAAATAAAACTGTTTTCTAGATAAGTCTCTTGGATATTTACTTAACAACGCTCTGTAGAAATTCATACTGCGTGCGATTGTCAATGGTACATTATTTAAGTGTTATATCGAACAAATGTCACAACATACAAATGTCACATTAAACAAATGTCACAATCTTACATCAAACAAGTTTAACATCATACAAATGTCACATTAAACAAATGTCACAATCTCACATCAAACAAGTGTCACATCATACAAATGCCACATTAAACAAATGTCACATTGTCACATCCTACACGTGTCACATTATTCCTGTGTCACATCATACCATTGTCAGGTCAAACTAGCAGTCCGTCAGGGAGAGGTCAAGAAATACCATCACGTTTTCTCAGATGATTTTGTCCACCACTTTTTTCGCCATTAAAACATAAAACATCACACACCTCTTTCCCAAAAACAAATCACATAACAACCCAACTATCTTCCCAAAAATCACTTTTGCTCTTAAGAGACAGCCTTTTAAAAAAATAGTGATTTATGTCAGGGTTGAGTATGTTGATCAATTTTGTTTTACAATTTAAAGAAAAAAAAGTCTTTTAAAAGTGCGAAATAGGATTGTGTTGTCATCTATGATACGAAATTCTACTGAAAGGATGTATAAAAGTTAAGGACAACTTCAGCAGTCTAGATCCCATAGAACCAATTGCTGTATGAATACAGTCAATGCTGTAAGAAAAACTTACTCAGTTTTGTTTGTGTTACTTTTAGACTAAAAACATCACTTGGTGCTACTTTTAGACTAAAATTATCACCTTGTGTTACTTTTAGACTAAAACATCACCTACAATCCATTAAAACAACTTCTGTGATCGTCTTAATAAAACGATACAACTCAAATAATATGTGGATTTAATATTTTATGTCCATTAAATTTAATTATTAAATTATTTACAAAACATTTTAACTGCATTTTTTGTCAAGAAAATACACAATGTTTTAATACAAACAGGCATAGCAAATCATTCTATTGTTCATAAAGTTGTAGTCACAGTTTGTGTGTCTTATTATTGATAGTTCTATTATATAGCTGCTGCCGACTTCTACGACTGGATGCTGATTGACGTCTTGTGGTTGTAGCTAGTTTTACAGCTGTCAAATATAAATATTAACATGATACGGGCATGTACCATGACCTACGACACCTGTAGTGTAGCAATGATGCTACATAATCAATACAGAAGAAACATTGGTAAACTGTAGGGAGGTTTGAGTGTTAACACTGATAGTGATAACACTGATTACAGAGCAGCAGAGTTTAGTGTGGTCAGTGGCTAGTGACAGGTGACAGGTGACAGGTGAGCTGTACAGGTAACACTTGTATGTGCTAGAGACTTTGACTCATTCAACCGTATCTTCAGTATCAAACAAGTGACAACTTCCAATTTCAAATCTTGCCAGTCATAATTAGATGGTAAATCAGGATTTTAAAATGAAAGTAATAATTACAATTTGAAGCTTTATACCACGTCTGTTTACACCTGACCAAAGACAATTGATGGTCAACGTTTTAAGTTATGCATGACATGACATGACAGATGACAGCTGTCTGCTGTCTACCGTGTGTAAGATATATCTGAAGCCACATCTCTCCACAGTTTCCTTTCATTCCTACATTTTTCACTCATGCATCATGCGTGCAAGATTAAACAAATGATGATAATTAAAGAGTGAATAGTTAACAACTTAATGCGATTAAAGATTGAATAATTACAAAAAATTAATGTAATCAAAGATTAACAAATTAATGTCATTAAAGTTGTCAAAGTCAAACGAAGAGGACACAGTGCTGATCTAATTTAATGAATATAGAGTGTAGAACACGTCCTCTAAAACAAAATGTAAAGTAGGTATAAAGTGCTTTTTTTGTGGTAAAGTCTGTGGTGTCGTGTAACTGTTAAGCAAGGTTTGATCATGTTGTCCAGTAGACTTTAGTAAACTTTCGTCGGGATGGTAGTTGTTGCGGTAAAGTTTTGTCATATTAGGCAGTTTTTTAAGAAAAGTTTTATTATGTCAGGTTTTTTTTCAAAGGTTTCGTCATGTCAGGTAAGGTTTCATCACGTCAGATAGTTTTTCAGTATGAGAAAGACGAGGCCGATGACGTTGACCAGGATGTAGAAGGTGAAGAAAATCCTGTCCGTCACGCATGAGATGAGCTGCCACTCACGAACGTACTTCCGGTATGTCTCTCTGCCCTCGTCGCTCGTTACCTCGTCGTCCATCATCTCACGTACCTCACACACCTGGGGAGACGGGACACACGTGACTTACAGTGGTCAAGTCAATTCTATTAACATTGACATAAAAATATGTAAATTACTTTAAAAACATAAAGTTATACCTATATTTACACTATTTACGCGGATATAACAATTCGAAAAATCTAATAACAATTAAAGCAAACTGGCCAGCAAATTATTTGATACAATATGCGACGACGACAGCTACTGATCATATAAATGACAGTCATGAGCATAATAATGATAATTAAAGATATGAAAATGACAGCAAGGTACATAATATGAACAGCTATTGGCATAATCTGGACAGCTAAGGACATAATTTGGACAGCTATGGACTGAACGCATCTGACGGCTATACAAATCTTACTAACGTCTTCTAGTAGCGTGGAATTCTCGGCATACAGGCCGGCCATATTGTCTGGGCATGGCGGGAAGGCTGTGGATGTTGAAGGCTCGCAGAAGTCAGCTGTCACATCCTGGAATTAAAGGTCAAAATATATAACGTCACCATTCATAGAGGTCAGATGTTACAACATGAAATCACATGTCAAAATATTTACTGTCGCATTTCCTAGAAGTCAATGATGGTAGAGTTATCATTTAACACATTTATCCCAACTATTTAGAAAAGCCCGTGGTTAATCAGCAATATTTATTTGAATTACTATGAATCGTCCACTACCGCCCACTACCGTCCACTATCGTCGTTTATGTCTACTATTGACAGTGCTACAGACAAACCACTAATATCACGTGATCTGAGACCACCAGTCACTATAGTTTCCAAATGAGCGTCACACCACTAAGATGTGACGTTTTACACAAATGTATATTTAATTTTTCACGTCAGTAAGTTAACTTCTAGTATCAAGGTAACTTTATACGCGGATTACAACAGGATTAATTCAAACTAACCCTGGAATGATACCTGGCTAAACTAGACCCTTTGATTAATTAATCAAACTAACCCTGATATTAAAAACTGGCTAAACTAGACCCTTTGATTAATTAATCAAACTAACCCTGATCAGTGGCGTAGCGAGGTCGGGTGTGACCCGGTGCGGCACTTAATGGTGTCACCCCCCAGAGGCGTAGCGACCCCATCAAGTTTTCGATTTGCACCCCCCCCCCCCCCGTTAAGTTTTTCTCTATTTATTTTGCTATTTTTTGCCTTGGTGTCACCCCCCTAAATGGTGTCACCCGGTGCGATCCGCACCCCCGCCCCCCCCCCCCTCGCTACGCCCCTGACCCTGATACAATACCTGGTTAAACTAGACTCACATTGAAGGCGCCATAATATTTTCTCTCCAACCGGAAGCTGGACTGACACTCCAGGAGGTGTGTCTTAGCTACCAACGTCTCGGGATCCGATTGGCTCTTCTCGCCCGTGACGTAGGTGGACCAGGTTTTTCTGGGCGTGACCGGGTGATGACGTCGCTCTTCCGTCACCTCGTTCACGCGCAGGATTTTGGCAGCAGTATCGATGATACACTGGAACACAGGACATATTGTTTTTTAAAGTCTGCCAATAAATCATGACAGTCTCACTTCTACCTCTTTCTAAATATATATCTTCATCGTTGACATAATTTCATGGAAGCACAAAACTAAAAAAAAAATCCTTCTTATCTCATTAGACACCATCTTTCTATTTGCATAAGGAAATGTCCCAGAGTTCTCCCCACTAAAACGTACCTAATATTTTTATATAACCCGTCTAATCTACATCATAATCGTAAAAATATCCAGGGGAAGTAAGTCTTACATTTTCAAAATATTTTATTTTTTGTTTGATTATTTCCCTTTAATTGTGAAAGTTTCACTACAATGAAGAAAATATGTTTTGTCTATGTGTTAATGTACATAAAACGTGTGACTCACAGAGCGCAGCCACCGTGGCGCCCTGTTGATCCTGACGCCCCTGAGGTACATGTTGGCAGACAGACAGGCCAGGACAGTCGACAGGGTGATCATGATCATACTCAGGCAGAAGTACACACCTGTGGCAGGTAGGACACGGAGGGTAAAGGTCACGTGAGCATTTGGACAAAATGTCATCTTGTTTATGTCAACAACATGTCATCTCGTTTATGTCAAAAACATGTCTGATAATACCTAAAACATCATCTAGGACATGGAAACTAAATGTCATGAAGGTCATTTGAATAGAATTCCTTGTCGAGCATGATAAACAAATCTATTGTGAAACATGACATATATTGTAATGCATGGAGACAAAATGCCATGTAGTTCATGAAACGAAATGTCATGTCAATTATTTAACCAAATGTTATGCAAAACATAAAAACGTCATGAAGCATGTAGATGTCATGTACAGACCACGTGTAACATACTAATTAAACTAACATACACATAACACCGAGTCTCGAGATACCACATACAGTGACCGTGTCTGGGTTAACATAGTGTTAGACATAACGTGTCATATAAGAGAACATATGTCGTATCGGATGACAGAGTAGAAGTTAGACGACAGACATGTTGGACACATACAAGTTAGACGACACACACGAAAGGCAGCACATAACTCGTAGGACGCCATACATTATGCTGTAGGACATTCTACACACTAGACCAGCATACAACAAAAAAGTTACCTATAAGAGGCAGCGAGGTGGCTGCTCTAGGTGTGAAGGCCGCCAACAACTTGAGGAGGATGAAGAAGGCGAGGAATATGTTCATACCTGGGACATACACATAGTCATCAGATCTTTACTTGGACATACACATATACATCAGATCTTTACTGGGACATACACATAGTCATCAGATCTTTGCTGGGACATACACATATACATCAGATCTTTACTGAGACATACACATATACATCAGATCTTTACTGGGACATACACATATACATCAGATCTTTACTGGGACATACACATATACATCAGATCTTTACTGGGACATACACATATACATCAGATCTTTACTGGGACATACACATATACATCAGATTTTCTAACTCGTTTGTGGTGCACATTATGCTTTTTTTTTTTTTTTAAAAACAGTAATTAACATTTTAATTTAATCACAGTAATTAACATTTTAATTTAACCACAGTAATTAACGTTTTAACTTAACCACTGTAATTAACGTTTTAACTTAACCAAAGTAATTAACAGTATGTTACATGGAGCATTCCTTGTTTGCTTTGTTGTTTTTTGTTTTTTTTTTTACTTAACTACAATGAAATCATTATTTGTTTTTAAAAGATGTTGAAATCATAGCTATAGAAGATGTTTGTTTTTAATGATTTTATTTGTATTTTGAATATTTTTTGAATCGGGTAAGAAGTTATTTCTATTTAAAAATCATTCAATGGCATCAACAAATGATTTGTGATATCGTTGAGGCAGATGTGAACTGTGCGGCATGTAGGACGTACACGTATGTGATTTGAACGTCACGTATTATGTACACAGATATGAGAACCACTCACCCAACTGTAGCTTGGCTGGCGACTCAGGAGGGACCCAGAAGATGACCATGGTCAGGAGGGAGAGAAGGGCGCAGGGCAACAGGAGGATGAAGGTATAGAAAGCAACTCTTCTCTTCAGGCGTAGTCTGGAAGTAGATAAGACTTTGGTACAGACAGACTTTAGTTACAGACAGACTTAGTTAAAGGCAGACTTTGGTAAAGACAGACTTTGGTACAGACAATATTTGGTACAGACAGACTTTGGTACAGACAGACTTTGCTACAGACAGACTTTGGTAAAGACAGACTTTGCTACAGACAGACTTTGGTAAAGACAGACTTTGGTACAGACAATATTTGGTACAGACAGACTTTGGTAAAGACAGACTTTGCTACAGACAGACTTTGGTACAGACAGACTTTGGTACAGACAGACTTTGGTACAGACAGACTTTGGTACAGACAGACTTTGGTGCAGACAGACTTTGGGACAGACTTTGGTAAAGACAGACTTTGGGACAGACTTTGGTGCAGACAGACTTTGGGACAGACTTTGGTAAAGACAGACTTTGGTACAGACAGACTTTGGTGCAGACAGACTTTGGTGCAGACAGACTTTGGGACAGACTTTGGTAAAGACAGACTTTGGTACAGACAAACTTTTGGTACAGACAGACTTTGGTGCAGACAGGCTTTGGTACAGACAGACCAGTACAGACAAACTACAGATGAGCAGACAGACATACCTACATTTTGACACGTACATGCAGACAAATAAAAATAGTTACAGGAATAACGCGTTTGAATTTAAGAAAGCTGTTGGCTAACAGTAAAATTGGGAATTGTAATTTAAAACGTAATTTTGTTCTACTCGCAGGTATTATTGGTCTTTTTAGTCGAAAAACTAGTAAAAGGTTAATTATTACTTTTAATAAATAATTACATTTTATTTTAAAATATTTTAAAATAATTAGTTTCAGTTTACAATATTTTAATTAAAATGTTCGGAATTGTTTTTATTGAATACTAGCCGTCCCGGCCAGGCCCTGCTCTGGCTTCTGTGAAAAACCTTTCTGTTAAAGACCATTACCTGTGTGTTTAGTAATCATCATAAACCCGGCATTGCACACCCAAACCACAACCAACCAAAACCAAAACAACAAAACGCAAACATAACGCTAACACAATTACAAATACAAACGAAAACAAAAACTTAACAACAAACACAACCACACCCACAAACACCAATACAAACACAAAGAAAAAACAAACAAAAAAGCAAACGAAAACAAAAACCTAACAACAAACCCAACCACAAACACCAATACCAACAAAAAAAAATCAACGAAAAAAGCAAACGAAAACAAACCAAATCCAAACGCAAAACCAACCAAAAACACAAATACAAACCCAAACAAAAAAAAAACACAAACAAAAACGAAAAAAGAAAGAACAAAAACGAACCAAATTAAAACGCAACCACTAACGCAAACCCACCTAAACACAAAGAAAACACTAACGCGAACATAAAAGCCCGGGGCGGAATCACCTGTTTTAGCTTAATGAACGACTATAGTACCCCAACTTATTCACAGTCTTTTGCACTCACTTAAACGAACGCGCCTGTTTCAATTTAATAAACAATTTTAATACTCCAAGCTTATCCGTAAAATACCATCAACATTTGCACTTGATCAATCCCCGCTAATTATGTAATTATTTTTTTTCCCAACATCAAAACAAAGTAATTAAAAAGTAAATTATTTTCACGGAATGCAATGGTTTTATAAAAGGAAGTAATTGTGTTTTTCCTAATTTATCAAAGGGAAGTAAGTGCTATAGGACTAAATAAAGACATAATTAGAATTTTTGTAAAAGATGATATTTTTTTTAAAACTTGTGTTTAATGAACATGCCGACAATTATTACTATAATTTGAAAAATGAAAATTATTTCCCAACACTTTCAATAGTAATTTTTTAGCTCATAAATTTAGACAAATGCGCACGATAATTTTCTAACTTTTAAATTCGTACAATTCCAACGACATACAAATGCATTACATACAGAACTGAGCTTTATATATTAGATGCAAAAAAAAAAGAAAACTAGAAAAACTAAAAAAAAAGCCTCATCAACGAGATTTGAGTGTGGCAGCTGTCCGATCAAAAACCCTTACGTGAACGTCATATCCGGGTATGGCTCGGGGCAACAGGTGTAGAACTTGACGTGTTTAACGGCGCTGTTCTCTACCACGTCCCACTCGTTGGATTTCATGTAGTCGCTGAGATCCATCTGGCGAACTTGGTCTGAGGAAATACCACAAGGTCTAAAAATAGAAGCATTAAAAATTGACGGGGGTCAACTTCCTGTGTTAGCGTGTGTTGCACTGTCCAGATTTTTTTACAAGCGGAGGCCATACTTGGGTGTATAGAGAAGTGGGACTACTTACAAGAGAAATGTATACAAATATACAGAGATCTTTAAAATAAATCTAATAATAAACAACACGTATATCACACAATACAAAGAACAATTTAGATCTAGAAGTAAAAATATATTAAAAAAAACTTTACTTAATTTTTTTGTCAAAATGTTTACTATAATTAAAATATTACAAAACTGCTTCAAATAAACACGACTGTTAAATTTATAGTACAGTTAATAAAGTTGGCAAAGAAGTGAGAATTCGATAAACTAATTTTGTTATTATGAGGGTCTGTTATTTCAAATCGGATATAATTGCTTCATGCTTCAAGTAGCTGTTTCATGTATACTCAAATATGAAGTAAAAACTATTAAAAAGATTCCTTTCTAGACTTGGCGAACCATTGGGCAGATGAAGCAGAGTTCACCTGTTGTTGACGTCGACATATGTAGGGATGGTGTGGTAAGCACAATGCCCAGCTGCATTTACTTTCCCCAACGCAAGTCAGGTACCAAAACACATATGTAGTACTCACCTATAAAGTCAATGTTGAGCATCACCCCACTACCTACCACACATGAACTGAGCACCAATCAAGTACTCACCTATAAAGTCAATGTTGAGCATGCCCCCCCCCCCTCTCTAATACACTTGTCCTCACCAATCAAGTACTCACCTATAAAGTCAATGTTGAGCATGCCCCCCCCCCCTCTCTAATACACTTGTCCTCACAAATCAAGTACTCACCTATAAAGTCAATGTTGAGCATGCCCCCCCCCCTCTCTAATACACTTGTCCTCACCAATCAAGTACTCACCTATAAAGTCAATGTTGAGCATGTCGCCGTTGTAACTCCAGGAGCCAAACTTGAGGTGACACGTCTGCTCATCAAAGGGGAAGAAGAGGGTGTCGAAGTCGCAGGAACTGTTGAGTATGGCCTGAGGCATCCACAGTAGGTGGCCCGTGTGGTCAGCCACAACAAGGGCTTCACGCTGCTCTGATAGGCGGTTGTCGGCGCTGGGAACATCACGTGATGAGGTGTAAGACGTCACGTAGACTATGTGTTAGGCACGTGGACAGTGTGGTTAGACGTCACGTGGAGAGTGTGGTAAGACGACTTGTGACGAGGTGTGGTAAGACGTCTCGTGAGTTATATTTAGTAAGGCACGTGAGTAGATTTGATACGTCACGAAGACAGGTGTAAAACGTCACGAATTCAGGTGTTATACGTCACGATTTCAAGTGTAATAAGTCACGTGATTAGTTTTAATACGTCCTATAAACTGTTTACATATATTTCACGAGTAGGTTTAATACTTCACGAGAGAATCCATACGTCATGTAAGCAGGTGTAAGGGTTTTTACGTCATGTAGGCAGGTGTAAGGTTTTTACGTCATGTAAGCAGGTGTAAGGTTTTTTACGTCATACGTATTATGAGCAGCTTTAAAGTCTCACGCGAATCGGTTAAATAGTTAAATTCAGACGGAAGTAAATATTGTGGTATACACAAACGTTAGCCAGTGGTAGTATTTTAAATTTATAACTTGCATTTTAAACAGCTACCTAGTTTTGTGAGGTACTGAAGGTGCATCTTGTGTGTTAGAAGGTGAGCAAGTTTAGTGTGAGGAGTTTAACTTATTTATGAGCTTAAGCACCAGAGTTTCTTCCAGGTATCTCTTCTTTGCCCGAAGAAAGTCTACCACCCTCCCCCCCCCCGAATGATATGGAATTTATATAGAAAACATATACCTCTACAATTGTCCGCCCTCCCTCCTACCCCGAAAATATCAAGTGCCCCCACCGGAGAAAAAAATCTGGAAGAAACACTGTTAAGCACATACACATTATCAATATTACTTAGCTGTTGTGATCAACCTTTCTATGTTAATATGTACCCTTTGTATATCTTGATGTACACATTTGTATACAGTAGTATATTTTTCCTTAGTAAGAGGTTGCGTGTATTTTTATTTCTTTTGTTGGGCGTCCCACGCTAAACGAATAATCTATCAGAAGATCGATTCAAACAGACGAAGAAATTCAATTATCTAGTCTAGGTGACCACTACTCATTAACGGACGGCAATCAATTTTTAATTAAGAAAATAAAAGATCAGGCCATGGGCGTTAGCGTGGCAGGGTACTCGTTGATTTATCAGACAACGCCAGTCTGCCTACACACTGGAGGGGAAAGAACTCCCGAGAAAAAAAAGTTGAAACCTTCAACAGTTATCTGGGTATCAAGAGTGACTGGCGAGATTCGTTGAATTACGCAGGGGAAGTGACGTGTCGAGATCTCGGCCCGGTATAATGAGATTTGACGAGATCGTCTCAAGTCCCTCACGGCCGAGAGCCGAGCGGGTCTCATCCAATGAAGGAAAACAAGTCGGAGAGAAATCTCTTTGTTTCTATCAAGTTCTTCATCAATGAAAAAACGGTTGAGAGTGGGAGAGGGCGAGACAAGCGAAAAGGGAAGTAATTACACGTGAGTAAAGCTTTCTGGGTTATCTGACCTTTTTTCCCACCCCCTTCCTCCCTTACGTCCTGAATAGTGCTAGCACCATAGGGGGATATCTGGAAATAAAATAAATGACCGGAGGTTCGATATGTAGCCGGGCACGCGATGAAATTAAAAGAGACCGCTCCAGGTCAGAGTGACACGGTCCAGCATCCACAATCTGCTTCGGCCGAGAGAAAAGATGGAGGCGATGACGTCAGACTGGACACTTAATACTTTAGTCTCGACGTCCATGCGATCGTCCGCTTATCGTTTTATTTATTTTTTCTATCAAATATTTAAAAAAAGGTGGAGATTATCTTCATTTAAAAGAGGTGGAGATTATCTTCCTTTAACAGAGGTGGAGATTATCTTCATTTAAAAGAGGTGGAGATTATCTTCCTTTAAAAGAGGTGGAGATTATCTTCATTTAAAAGAGGTGGAGATTATCTTCCTTTAACAGAGGTGGAGATTATCTTCTTTTAAAAGAGGTGGAGATTATCTTCCTTTAAAAGAGGTGAAGATTATCTTCCTTTAAAAAAGGTGGAGATTATCTTCATTTAAAAGAGGTGGAGATTATCTTCCTTTAACAGAGGTGGAGATTATCTTCTTTTAAAAGAGGTGAAGATTATCTTCCTTTAAAAGAGGTGGAGATTATCTTCCTTTAAAAGAGGTGAAGATTATCTTCCTTTAAAAGAGGTGGAGATTATCTTCCTTTAAAAGAGGTGGAGATTATCTTTTTTTAAAAGAGGTGGAGATTATCTTCCTTTATTCTGAAAGACTTCCAAGTTAAAGAGAGCTCAGAGTTTCTTTCGGGAATTCTTCGTGAGGGCAATGCACCTCCCCTCCCCCAAAGCACTTCCACCGCCCCCACCCCCTCCCCTCGAACAAAATAGAAAAAAAAAATATAATTAATGTACAAAATATATATTTTGACCAGTCTACGCCCCCCCCCCCCCACCCCTGTATTTTAAGCCCCCTCCCTCCAAGTGCCCCCGATTCCCACATGCCCACGTGTAGCATTTCTGCAACAATAACTGAGGGTTTAGTTATCCTTACATTCACATTATAATGTAAAGTATAAAATATCCTTATATAAAACTATAGAGTAATCATATACTGACATACAAGATGTAACGTAGACTAATCAGATTCTAACATACAAATTATAAAGTAGTAAGACGTTAATACTGATATAATTACAAGTTAAAAATTAGTAAGACATTTATACTGATATACTTACAAGTTATAAAGTACAATATCAGGGAGCCAAATTTGTTCTGAAGGCACACGTATGCTGGTGATGTTATCATGCAGCTTGGGGTTCCACTGTAGCAGGATGTCTCGCCATCTCTGGAACAAGACCAGGAAGTGACGTCATGTGATTACAAGACACGACGGTTTATTTCGGACGACACGACGGTTTTATATTGCAAACCTTTTATGAGACTTTCTGTAGGTAACGTATTGGACTTCACGACGGTGTTTACAATAATGCTTGTCTCCTACTTATTGCGTTGCAGTAGAGATATGGTATTCAGAATGAAGTTACTCTTGCGCTACCTATTTGTGGGGTTGGCGTGGTGGTGGAGGGTGTAGGAGGGGGGGGGGGGGTAGTGCTGATGAGGCTCTCTAACTTGGCAAGGCAACCCAATCAGAAGATAAAATAAACTCACAACTAAAAGTAGTCTCATATGGGTGTTAATGAACAGTTTTAAAAACTTTTGTTTGATACGCTCTAATCTTAAGATTAGGGCAAAGTCGAAGTAGAATCGCCTCCGCCTTTACAAAGAACTTCAGCAAAAAAATTCGTTAGACAGCCAAGCACAAAGCAAATCTCGTAGGACTGGGGTTCCCAACCCCATGCATGCGGGCGCCATGGCGCCCGCCGAACGATTCGTATGTGCCCGCCTCTCACTATTCGACAGAGACAGAATTTTTTTCATAAACATTATTCAAAGGTTGAAGGGGATGGAAATCGAAAGTTTGAGGGGGGAGGGGGGTGCAAATCGAAAATTCGTTTGAGGGGGGGTGCAAATCGAAACTTTGAGGGGGGGGGGGTGCAAATCGAAAGTTTTGTCCCCGGGTGACGGGAAGGGTCGCTACGCCTCTGGTAAGGGTTTGTCGATATTTTAGAATGTGCTGGTTGGGATATACGTAGTGGGATCGACCTACTTACATAGCGAAGTGTGGGATCGACCTACTTACATAGCGAAGTGTGGGATCGACCTTCTTACATAGTGAAATGTGGGATTGACCTACTTGCATAGTTAAGTGTGGGATTGACCTACCTACATATCGAAGTGTGGGATCGACCTACTCACATAATGAAGTGTGGAATTGACCTACTTACACCGTGAAGTGTGTGATTTACCAACATACATGTGGAAGTGTGGGGTTGACCTACTTACATATGGAAGTGTTGGATCGAATTACTTATATTTAAATGTGCGATCGACCTACTTACATAGTGAAGCGTTCGTTAGACCTAATTACACAGTGAAGCGTTCGTTAGACCTAATTACACAGTGAAGCGTTCGTTTGACCTATATACATAGTGAAGCGTTCGTTTGACCTACTTAAATAGTGAAGTATTCGTTTTATCTACTTACATAGTAAAGCGTTCGTTTGACCTACTTACATAGTGAAGCGTTCATTTGACCTACTTACATAGTGAAGCATTTGTTTGACCTACTTACACAGTGAAGCGTTTGTTTGACCTACTTAAATAGTGAAGTATTCGTTTGACCTACTTACATAGTGAAGCGTTCGTTAGACCCACTTACATAGTGAAGTATTCGTTTTATCTACTTACACAGTAAAGCGTTCGCTTGACCTACTTACATAGTGAAGCGTTCATTTGACCTACTTACATAGTGAAGCATTTGTTTGACCTACTTACACAGTGAAGCGTTTGTTTGACCTACTTACATAGTGAAGTGTGGGATCGACCTACTTACATAGTGAAACGTTTGTTTGACCTACTTACATAGTGAAGTGTGGGATCGACCTACTTACATAGTGAAACGTTCGTTTGACCTACTTACACCGTGAAACGATCGTTTGACCTACTTACATAGTGATACCAAATATTGGTCTTGAGCACCTGGTTCTTCTCATCGACGTCCAAGATCTGGATGAGGGAGAGGCTGAAGTTGACCATGATCGTGTCCCGTGGGTGGACGACCGGCCGTCCTGACGTGCCCTCCTGCTGGTAGCGGTGGAGAAGGTCACGGATCAAGGTCTTCTCTGATGACCCCGCTGCAGATAACACGAGACAGGGTCAAGGTCAAGGAGGAATAATTTCTTCAATTATGGTTAAATTTTTTAAAATGTAACAAATTTTACCAGCGGCGTAGAGTTTGGGGGTAAATAATTCTTACCCTAACAATGACCTGATCACACTCAGATGAATATAGCGTACTCAGTTAAAACAGGGAGATAACACAAGCCAGGTTTACATCCCTCGTTGTGATTTTTTTGCGTGGGTTTCAATGTGACAGGAAAATAAGGGAGGCCAATGGTGTACATCTATTTTTTGGTATCTCATGCAATTTGTTAAGGGTGGGAAAAAAGGGAATCAATTATTTTTTTTTACTGAAATTGATTTTAGCGATTAATTTATCAAGAGATTTATCGGTTGCCGAACTATACCGGAATTTACATTTTACAACTGGTTGTGTTTTTCGAATTCGCGCGGTTACAGAATAATGGACACTGAAATATAAATGACGATTTGCTAGCTATGACTTCTTAAAATAAAATAAAGTTTTATTTACAGCTGTATGTTACCAGTTAGTGATTTGATGTTTATACTCCTTGCTACACAGTAGGCCATTGAATTTATGTTACAAGTTCGTATGTTTGTTTTCTATTGTCAACCAGTTCTCACAAAGCTTATAACACGAGCGAGAATGTTGATTTTCTAGTAACTGCAAATCATGCTTAATTTATGTTACAAGTTACAATGTTGGTTTTCTAGTCCCTGTCAGCCCTAAAAAGCTTTTGTTAAAATTTAGTATGTTGTTGTTTTTCTACTTGCAAACTCCAAAAAGCTTATGTTAAAAGTTAGTATGTTGTTGTTTTTCTACTTGCTAACTTCCAAAAGCTTATGTTAAAAGTTAGTATGTTGTTGTTTTTCTACTTGCAAACTGCCAAAAGCTTATGTTAAAAAGTTAGTATGTTGTTGTTTTTCTACTTGCAAACTCTGAAAAGCTTATGTTAAAAGTTGGTATGTTGTTTTTCTGCTTGCAAAACCCCAAATGTTAAAAGTTAGTATGTTGCAGTTTTTCGACTTGCGAAACCCCAAAAAGCTTACAAGAAATCTACGCTACGCCTGCCTAGCATCGAAACAAAGCAATAAAAGTCAAACCATCTTACACGGCCCAACAACGGGGCTGAATATTTCATCCTTAACTCGCTGGGATGTTTTTCCACGTCCAAAAACCTCCCCCCCCCCCCCCTCCAGCGCGTGAATTACACCCAGACATTTCTATTTTGGAGGTGGGTCCCTACAGGATTGGCATCCAATGAAAATCACATTGCTCTTCCCACGTGACCTTCACGATCTCTTGAACGAGGCTCTGGTCGTCTGGCCCCGCTGGTCAAAGGTCATTTGTATTGGCCTGACAAATCGGACACTTGCTCGTTTTCATCATATACTTGATTGATATGTCTGTTTTATACAAATTGCCCTTGTCATGTATCCTTATAATTTTATTTTTTATGCCTTTATTCACAATGTAATGTAGTAGATATTTTCTGAGGCTTGTTCTATGATATAGATATTCTTATGTAGTTAGTACTCATCATGTTGTAGATTTGATTTGTTGTATTTTATGTAAGTTTTGTTGATGAGTTTTATTTAATCTGGCCCGTGGCGTACATTACAAACGAGTCCATTTGTACATTGTGATTACAAGTCAGCTGTCAACAGTTGATGAACGATACCATACTATCTAGTATGGTCATGTTTTTAAATCGAATACGGCCAGAAATATCACTACATTGGTCTTTTGTTCGGGATATCGCTATAAAATAAAATGTACTAATTTGTTCAGCACATTGTATTGGTGGTATCATAGATAAAACGTCGTCTATTCATAGCAGTGTACTTTAATGTGGGATTTACAATTTTTTTACACAACACACATCGATACTGCATCTTCAGCCATGTTTTTTTTTAGGTTTTACTTTAGGTTAGATTTGCCTGTCGTCCCTCCTGGGACATAGGTCACTGACATAAGCTTTCCAGACATCTCTGTCCTGGGCTAGTCTCTCCATCTGTCCCCAGGTGTATCCAATCTTCTTGGTATCTTCTTCCAGGTCACGTCTCCAGGTCTTTCTTGGTTTACCTCTCCTCCTGCCTTGTGGATTCCAGGTGAGGGCCTGTCTTGTTATGCTGGATACAGGCTTCCTGAGTGTGTGGCCAATCCATTTCCATTTTCTCTGGAGGATCTCTACTTCAGCTGGCAGATGATTTGTCCGTTTCCATAGAACATCACTTCTGATGGTTTTACGCCAGTGAATTCGCAGGATCTTTCTGATGCATGCGGTTTTACTTTAGTTGCGTATTTTGCTTCAATCATCTGCCCTATTTTGTCTCAGTTATCTGTCCTACTTTCCCTCAGTCATCTGCCCTATATTTGCATCAGTCATCTGCCCTATTTTTGCCTTAGTCATCTGCCCTATTTTTCCTCAGTCATCTGCCCTATATTTGCCTCAGTCATCTGCCCTATTTTCTCCTGAGTCAGCTGTCCTAGCGAGGCACTCGTGATATTAGCGATCACCCTTAATAGGAAAGGGAAATCACCCGTAAGAGCCAAGGGCGATAAGAACGTACACGACCTGTTTACTCACTCACTGGTCGATGGTAGTTGTGTAGAGATTCACACGCCTCAGTGTGTGTCGACACAACCACACAGTGGCGGTGGTCTACACAACACAACCACACAGTGGCGGTGGTCTAAACAACCACAGTGGCGGTGGTCTAAACAACACAACCACACAGTGGCGGTGGTCTAAACAACCACATAGTGTCGGTGGTCTAAACAACCACATAGTGGCGGTAGTCTAAACAACCACACAGTGGCGGTGGTCTAAACAACCACAGTGGCGGTAGTCTAAACAACCACAGTGGCGGTGGTCTAAACAACCACAGTGGCGGTAGTCTAAACAAACACACAGTGGCTGTGGTCTACACAACCAGACAGTGGCGGTGGTCTAAACAACACAACCACATTAGAGATACCATCAGCCATGGTACCAGTGCTGTATCTTCTTAGGGTCTTATTTAACAGAAACCTTCAAATCTTTTCCTACTGGACCAGGCACACACTTAATCCTTCTTTTGAGGAACTATAGGCTAAATGCATATAATTCTACTTTTCTATAAGAACTTAAACATCTTATCTAATTTGCTAAATTTATCTTTCATAATATAATGACTCGCCTTGACTGATACAGTAAGCACATAGACTAGTTGGCAGAAAGATTTGGATCGGAAGGACAGAGGGAAGAAATTTGTGTAGAGTAGCAGAATCTGGTGGCAGAGAGAGAGAGAGGAGAGATTTGTGTAGACTAGCAGAATCTGGTGGCAGAGAGGGAAGCGATTGTGTCGATTAGCAGAATATGTTGGCAGAGACGCTAGTACGTCTGCCTCCTGACTCAACTTACCGGGCCTGAGAGCAGGGACGAGACACATCAGGCAACAGAAACATGATGCCACCAAGCCCAGTCCTGGGCCCATGTCCCATCAGTCAACACCTGGCTCTGTACGTCATGGCTCCACCTGAGCTTTCACCTGAGAACAAACGTGAAGTTGACGTCCCTCGTTGCTTAATGTTACAGTTTAAATCCAAACTAACACACGCCAAATATAGCATCAATACATTACACATTCCTAGAAATGACCACTATGCCGCCTTATAAAACAACACTCGTCACTTGGTACGACGCAATACACTGGTACAACAACAGCAGCGTCTAATAGCACTAATGACTCTTTTATACGAGCACAAACACAATTTGATAGATGAATTGTACCCTAGCGACACCCTGCGCTACTACACACCCCCCCCTGCTCTGACCCTGTGAATATGATTGATTTTTTTCTCACACATTGTGTAAACGCTGAACACAGAAGCGACCCACGGGATAACCACCATCAAACTTAGACCTCATCTCCCCCCCCCCATACAGAGGCTTGATGCCCGCCATCAGACATAGATCCACCCCCCCCCCCCATCCAACATTACAGGCTTGATGCCCCGCCATAATACCTAGACCCCCCCCCCCTCTGCGTCCACCCCCCCCCCCCCCCCGTACAGCAATACAGGCGTGATACCCCCTGGGGCACCGTGCCTGTCCCATGCCATCCCGTCCCCCCTCAAATGACAAACTAACCGACTCTAGACTTCCGTCTACTCGCAGTGAAGTGATCCCATAGTTTGGATTAAACCACACAAAAAAAGAATGCTGCCTGTGTTTTATGAAGTTAATGAGAGTCTTCAGTGTGTATAAGAACACTCAAGAACCAATGTAACCGTATTTCCTTCGTGGTTTTCAAACACGTCCACATAATAAACGATCATTTTAATTTTTGTTAGTTTTAACTTTAGAAACAAAGCTTATGCACATAAAACTTATACACAAAATGTATATACACAAAAAGTATAGAGGGCCATTTAAAACATTTTATATGCAATGTATATACAGGGAGGTAATAAATAGTAAGTACGTGTTGGTGAAAAACTTCAAACCGTTCTTGCTTTTTCTTCTAAATCGGTCCTATCTTTGTGTTTTGGGAATTCATTTAAAGTTACATCTACGTCCACGTTGCAAATATTTTTTTTTCAAATATTTTGGTCCTTAAGGTCGTTTTCATAGTCTGGATGGTAGGACATTCTAAAAAGATGTGTTTCTGTTTCTATTGTATTTTGTCTGCATAGCGGGCATATGAGTTTCTGATTTATGTTATTTGTGTTTTATTATAAACTAGCCGTTGGTACCCGTTACACGTGAATTATCGGTCTATATATTTTTAATGGTATACATTTTTAGAAGAATATTTTATAAAATAGTTATTGGTCAAAACGCAAAGTGCTTTACTTCAGGTTTAACGATATTAGTGACAAAGCAAGGAAATAACTAAATAGCTAAAAGTCAGACACATTTAAAATAACATAGGCTACCTATTAGAAAAAATAAAACCAAATGATATACATAATTAGTCAACATAACACCATATTAATTGCACACATTGATTAAAAGACTTAAATGACTCCGTTAAAAACCCGGCTTTTCAATGGTATTTATGTTGTTTTTTAAACTAATTTGTATTGGTTTTGGCCGATTGCATACATTTCATAAATTACGTCTCAATAAGTAAATCTATAGATCTAAATCAAATTTTAATGAAATAGTTCATTTCTTCGTATTCTAAAATTGGAATATGACGCCATTGGTTTTGTGTACTTTCCGTACTTCAAACATATGACATGTGACGTCATAGATTTCGGCGTTCTTGTCCCAAATAAAAACACTTTTCCGGTTGCATAATTAAAACTGTTTTTCTACATTCGAATATGTCTTTATTTATTTTTATTTTTAAATAAAACTTTGTTTATACATTTAAAACATCTACCATATTATTTTCAACAAAAGTCCGTATCAAGTTCTCCATATATCGCTGAAGATTCTGATGTGACATACTGCGAAAATATTTTGCGGGCAGAGAGAGAGAGAGAGAGAGAGAGAGAGAGAGAGAGCAGCCGATCAAACACTATTTTCTATGAAAGACTCAATGAAATTATCAATGACAGAGTCAATGATAACTACCGCTCTCCTGTATTTTTCTCTTAAGAAACTCAATGATAAAGCGTTAGTAGTTATAAAGAGAGAGAGAGAGTTTATCAAAACGGAAATAATTCAACTCGTTTAATTAATAAAGGGTTAAACGTAATTATTAATTCTTAATTTCTCAGCGATTGATACAATTGTTTAGGGACAGTTAAACTATTTTTAAAAAAATATAGATCCTCGATCTTCATTTATAATTTATTAATTAAAATAAGATTTTTAAAAAATAATTAAAACAGGTCTTTGTACTATATTATTAAAAAAAACAACTAATGAATATAATAAATAATTTTGACTATTTCTCATTCTAAACCTATCGAATATCTTTTTTTTTAAATGCAAGGTAATCTTTTATAGAACCTACATGATTAACTTTTCTTCTAATAATAAAAAAAAACTCTAAATAAAAACTATTATTCCTACAAATATTAGAGTAGTCTCCCTTGACAGTTTCTATTCGAATGTATTTTGTGTTAATTTTCGTTATGAAATACAGTTGACTTTTTAAATAAATTATATAAGAAAACAATCTATCTCTGTGTATATTTATTTAAAAAAAATATTATTACAATAATTAGAATAGGTGTTACTGGTTAAATAGCAATTATTCTCATTCTAAATCTTTGGCTATCGAGTTTCATGGGTTTTTAAATTTAAGATTATGAACACATTGGCTTGACGAAAATGATTATATACTATACACTTAAATACATACTAAAATTTACTTTTGTTAATAAACCTACACTATTTTATGCACACATACAAAAAAGAATATTTTAGCGGCAGTTACAACGTCAAAAAAAAGGAAACTCCTTTATACTGAATAGTTCTACGTAACAACAAAAATGTAAAAATACATAGTCCTAGAGCACACTAACACATACATATATACATACGAAGATATGTGTGTGTAAGTAGGATGTGAGGTGTGTAGACAGGCGGGGTGGAAGGAAAGCAGTTTGGCAGGAATAACGGTAGGTAGGAAAGTAGGTAGGCAGGCAGCAGCGCAGGCAGGTTAGTAGATAGGTAGGTACGTAGGCAGGGAGTTAGGTATGTAGGTAGGTGAGCGTAGGTAGGAAGGCGCCTCACTCGGTATAGTGAGCGATTATAGTAGCCCATCATATTCATAGCGTTTCGCAATTATTAAAACGAACAAAGGTACCATAGTACTCACGGGAAAACCCGGGGAGCTAAATGGAACCCTGCCAGGGCGCCACCAAATCGATTTTTTTTTCGTAGAAACCACCACAGGGGTATTAGCATTAACTTTTCAAATTTGAATGACAAACGAATGAAATCTTTTATAATGCTTAAACAAACAAACCCACATATTCGTTTTTGGGGCGCGGGTTTGTCCACACTGCCGCCTAGACGCACCAAGGCTCACTGTATGAAAGCCTTGAGTGTACGTTAATCAACCTCTGTAATAGTGAGGTAGAACACACATTGGCGACCGCCCATGTGTTAGAGACGCGTCCCTTGGCGCTCCAGTGAGCCACTGGTTATATTTCCGCAGGGGCGCCCCTAATTCGGTTTAATTATAAAATGTCGTGTGCCACCGTGTCCCTATTGTAGGGTGCTCTTTAAGGAGGCACTCTCTGTAGAGCCCGGGGCGCTCGCTGTCGCCAACTGCCAGGGCGCCTGCGGGCGCTCATTATTCTACTTAGTGAACATTTATAGTAGCCCATCTAAACCGTAGTGTCGCCCGAGATGGGTCTTGGCCGCTCTGGGCCACTCAACCGCCGGGGAGCTGGCGGATGAACCTGGTGTAGTTTTATCACTGAATCTCAGAGGCGTAGCACCATTTCTGGCGCCTGGGGACAAATTTTCAATTTGGCGCCCCCCCCTCCCGCCGGAGACAAACTTTCAATTTGGCGCCCCCTCCCCGTATTTTTTAAATATTTATAATGCAAAACTATAGCTAAAATGAGCTTTTAAATTTTTCCAACCATTTTGGCGCCCCTAGGGTTGGCGCCCGGGGACATATGTACCCCCGCCCCCCTCGCTGCGCCTCTGCTGAATCTAGTATTACCTATGACCGCAATTGATGAGATAGCCCCTCTGGATTCCCCTCTGGATTCTGAGCTCATAATCGTATAATTAGAAAAATCGAACCCTCCCAGGGTGCCACACTTAAGAATTTTTTTCGTTATCGAAACCCTTTTCACCAACTACCCAAAATTTTATGACTCTCGTACGAACAGTGTCAAATGGCATCTGGCTTTTATTTTTATGGAGAAAAATTGCATTGCTTCCTGTCAGAGACCCCAGATCGAATGGGGCGCCAAAAGGGGTAGACAGTTTTTTTAAAAATCCTCATTCTTCAGTAAAATTTAAGAAAACAGATTTATACATGGCTGATATCCTCAATTATTTTATATAGGGGAGCGTATGTAGGGATGGTCGCCTTTTTGCCAGCGTTTGAATAGGGTTGGCACATAATTGATAGTTCGCCCCGGCTGCCGGAATAGGTTGCTACGCTTCTGCTTCCTGCTAGGGTGCCGCCCTGGCGAAATCTTTCCGGGGGGGGGGGGGGGCGTGCGGACACTGTTAAAAGTATTTTTTCTATATAAATTCCGTTTCGTTCGGGGGTGGGGGGGGGGGGTTCGATAGACTTTCTTCGGGGGTGGGGGGGGGGCTCTGCTTCCCCCCCCCCCTCCCTCCGAATAGATTCCTGGAAAAAACTCTGTTCACAAAGTTTTATGGCGATCCGATGAAAAAGATGTAGTAATTCATATTGGACAAACAGATAAACATACTTTCATTTCTATAAATATAAATAGATATATAGGGCCTACTTTAACTAGTGTCCGCATACCCGCACCCGGAAACTTAGTCACAATTTTCTTTGTTACGTTTGAACCCTTTAGGTTAATCAATATTAACAAAATTGAACAAGATGCAACAAATACAGTTAACCAAGAAATTGAACAAATAAAATTCACGTTATCTTTTTATTGTTTTTAGATATAGAGTAGTAACAGACTACCTACAGGTCCTAACTCGCGACGAGGTACACATTTGTATTAAAACACACATTTAAGACATTTTCCATTTAGGTGGGTTTTGCAGTACAGTGGTTTCTTAAGTCGTGGACAAGTGATTGCGCTTATCTCTGTTGAGTAGCTATGTATTCTGTCCTATATTAGACACATTTGTAAATATCTGTCACAATATGGGCATAGAGATGATATAACGATAGCTTATCTTTGCGGACGACGCTAAACTTTGGCATCGACACCACGGCCTACAAGTTCAAATTCGGTCCTTCAGAAATGTTTGAAGTCTCTAGATTAAAACTACTTTTCTCTTTTATGTACCTACTGACCACATCACATGCATTTGTTCTGAAAGTCTAAAAACAGAGGCACAAATATATCGTCTAGACTTGTGAGGTCTACAGATTTTGGCAGTTATCTAAGCCCTTGCCTGTTCTGACTCAAAGCCTTATTCTTTCTCTATCGACGCCTTGCGTAACATGGGATTGGGTTTTTAAGGCGGCATAAAGCTTTATGTTGTTCCTTTTTTAGTACAATAGATTAAAAACTAACGTTTTCAGATGCCTAAAGATGTTTAACCACTAATTAATCAGAATAATGGGTCAAGATTTCAATTCTTGATTTTGGGACACGTTAGTTGCCGGGGTTGAGCTAATGTCGATAGCATAAGGACTGTACCTTGATGCGGGCGTTTTATTTGTTGCCCATCGTAATAATTGAATGGTTGATGGGGCTTCTTCAAGGGTTTGATTTGCCGTAATGTTAATGATATCATGCATGTGCGGCTTTTCTAAGAAGAAAATGCGTTTAAACACTTTTTAGTTATGCTTTTTTTAAATAGGCCTATATTTTACGACATCATAATCGTAATGAACAATAAAATGAATTTAAACAACTTTAGAATACACGTGTTTCGGCTAACATGAATGTTATTATTCAAACTAGTAATGTTAAACGTGTCTTTTTCGCATTTTTGACTTATAAGCAATACAGTAAATTCCGATAACGTCCATATGCATACAAGCAATGGCGTAGGCGAGGAGGGGTTTAATAGTGATAATGATACTTTCTTAACCCTCTACTGGACATCATGTTTGGTACCTTGCCCCCGGCAACTGGGTGGATTTGGATTACACCCAAGTTTTACTTCATAGTAAATGGCTTCAGTTTTAATTATTGGAGTTGGTAGCAACATTGACACAGTTGAAATCACATTAACTAGTATATAATTTACCATTACTAACAATAGGCCCTACTTAATTGTTTAATGTTGCTGGATATTAAGCCTGGTAGGTATTTATATTTATTAATTTGTACAGAAACAAAAAAAGGATTCCCAAACAAAGTTTTATTTTTCAGAAATAAAGAAAATGATACAAATCAATAAAGAACAGTTTTCAAAAGAATTTGTATAAAAGTAATTATTATAAAATAAGAATATAGCATTGCATAGATAAAAATAAAATACTTGACACAAACAATATGAGGAATATTTTTTATCAGAGAAGAGAAAAATATATGATGTAGTTTGAAAATAATAATGTACAGAATGTAGCTTTTGCAGATTAAAATGAAAATTCTCATGCCTATATAATTTATTGAGTAAATGAAGCAAGACCCAAAACAATAGGCTAAATAATATGCATGGGACAGGCATTGAAAACTACAAATTGCATATAGTGAAGGTTACCCTATTTATTGGCTATATCCACAGTAAAGATTTATGGCTTTATTACCTGCTTGTAAAATTGTTAAGGAAAAAGTAAAGTATTGTTAACTTTTTATGGCAGACCAACTACGGGCTGTGTTCTGGGAACATGTCATCTGTAAGGGGCATTGTTCTCGGCACATGTTGTCATTTTTTGTGCTCTCGGCACATGTTGCCATTTTGTGTGTTCTGGGAACATGTTGCCATTTTGAGTGTTCTGGGCACATAATGACATTTTATGTGTTCTGGGAACATGTTGACATTTTGTGTGTTCTGGGAACATGTTGACATTATGTGGCTGTGTTCTGGGAACATGTTGCCATTTTGTGTGTTCTGGGAACATGTTGACATTATGTGGCTGTGTTCTGGGAACATGTTGACATTATGTGGCTGTGTTCTGGGAACATGTTGACATTATGTGGCTGTGTTCTGGGAACATGTAGCCATTTTGTGTGTTCTGGGAACATGTTGACATTATGTGGCTGTGTTCTGGGAACATGTTGACATTATGTGGCTGTGTTCTGGGAACATGTTGACATTATGTGGCTGTGTTCTGGGAACATGTTGACATTATGTGGCTGTGTTCTGGGAACATGTTGACATTATGTGGCTGTGTTCTGGGAACATGTTGACATTATGTGGCTGTGTTCTGGGAACATGTTTGTTTCATTTTTAAATATTATAATAAAACATTTTTAGAAATTCTATATTAGGAATTGTGTATATATATAAAATTATATATTTAATAAGACAATTGGATGAATTATAATAAACAGCAAAAATGATTCAAATAAGTTTAGAAGTATTTGGCTTGCTGTCCTAACAGTGAACTGTATTGCGAGCTTGTTTCCCTAGTGATAACCCATGTTTTTTGTGCGACCCTTCCAATCAAGTATCCAGCTTTTTCTTGGCCTGTATCAAAATGCTGGTCAGACTTGCTTGACTTGTGTATCACAATAAGATTTTGAATGTTTTTCTGTAAATGAAATAAAGGCAAAATATTTTGATACTTTCTTTTGTGGAACTTGCAAGAAAAATAAATTACAAATTTATATTACTATCTCTAATATTTCTTTACTATAACTAATTACTTTGAAAAGATAAAGCACTGAACATGATGAATAACAAGAAACAAACATTATCAGCAAAGATTATAGATTTAAAATTGTGTTCATTCATATTGAAGATTAATGAAGTAGACTATCAATATTTACCCTCTTGATGGCTGATACTTTGATTTGATGTCTTTACTTTAAGCTTACACATCAGTCTCTGTGTGGTAAAATATGAAATAATATGCTTCAATAAAACTGTTTAAGTATATTAATTATATTAGATAAGTACATAGTTTTGAGCTCTATAACAATATGTGTTTCAATTATCATTCAAATATAATACCCTCTATGTTGTACACTCACTGATTTATTAGAATTTAAAAAAAGACAATAATTAATAAAATATTTTGGATTAAAATCCATTATATTTATTATAACATACAATGCTATCTCTTGCTATAATAATTACTTTAAAAAATGGGTTATGCCTATAGTACAGTTACCTGAGGATGAAACTAGGCACAGTGTATAGTCCACGGAGACTGATTAATATCCCTTGTAATTGAACATCAGTTGTAGTTATGAAATCTGGATGGCCAAACACACACTCATAGTCCTGAAAAGCAATATACACATAGATTAGCAAGAATATCTCACAAATTATTAAATTAAAGCTAACCCCTATTTAGTGCAATCCATCAAAGTAGTAGCATTTTTCGTTAAGTTGTAGACACAATACAAAGTAATGTTTGGTCTGTGATTTACATACTTTTATAAAATAGCAATCAAATTATATATATATATATATATATATATATATATATATATATATATATATATATATATATATATATATATATATATATATATATATATATATATATATATTCATTGTAAATTTTAGCTATGTCTTGCTATTAAATTTATTTACTCGACTGATCTAAACTCACTTTATTTAAACATAATATAGTGGATAAGTATAGTGATTTTATTATTCAGCAATAAATAGCAGCCCTACAAAAATTTAAATAGTAACGTTTGCGAATGAACACATTAAATTCTATGTATTTCCATGTCTATGTCTTTCCCAACTTGATACATATTACTAACCAAGCATTAAACTAAAGTCCTAAACCTGACTCTAATTACCATTTATTGGACAACCTGAACCTTTGCGATACCATGTTATAATATATTATTTTAAAAAAGAGCTTACCACTAATTAGTAAAATCCATTGTTTTTAGTATTAACTGAGCCGCATACTATCTGCTGCTATTGTCATCATCAGAAATCCAGTATGTTGGCAAAGATTAGTCTCTAAGTTCCCTGCAACCTCATTCCCTTGAGTGCGGAAAACACTGAAATCATTAATCATTATTTCATTATGCCTAATAGTTTAAAGGTACTATTAAAGTAGTACTAAATAGTACGAGTCTAAGTTACTATAGGTCTAATGATAATTATTATTGTGTATGCTTACATGCTTTAAGTTTTATGCACAATATTGGTATATAATATAATATAGTCTACAGTATATAGCCTAAGCTATAGAGTATATAGGCCTATGAGCCTAAATATAACAGCAGCTTGAATAATGCTCATTAGCATGCATTCACTATAAACTATAAAATAATCAAATATTTCAATTTAATTAAATTATAGGCCTAACTAATAGGCCTAATAGTAAATAGGCTTTTTTCTTGTGGCAACAAATTTAAAGTATAGGGCAGTACAGTTATAGTATAGGCCTACTAGATTCTATATTTAAGTATGTGGGATTTTCATTCCAATGCACCACAATAGATACCACACATGATCAAGCTGGACCTCTGATCTAAAGATTTAATAATTGGGCCTAACAAACAGTGAAACTACAATAAAAATCATGTAAATTACTAATTTAACCTTCTTACCTCCGCTTCTCTAGATTCCTATTCTATTTCCTTCAAACTTTCTTTTTATGCAGCCGTATGATTAGATTCTAGACTATATTCTAATAAACATGAAATAACTACTAACCAGAAGACTAGATCTAAATTTCTATATTCTATGCAATATGTATTAAACCTATAGGCCTAATATTTATTTTAAATTCCTATGAGATGTGTCGTGAACTGTAGGTTTCATGTTATTTTTGTAATGGCGGAAATCAGTTTAAAATTTCGTTTCCTTCCTTTTGTTATTCTATTTATAGATTCAAACTGCTTAGAGACGGAGCAATTATCATTGAGTTAGTCGGCTGATCCACACAGGAAGTGCGGGTATATCTATTAGTTACTCAGTGATCTGATCATTGACAAAAACAGAGATAGCCATTCGCATGGGGTGGAGAGAGAGAGAGAGAGAGAGAGAGAGAGAGAGAGAGAGAGAGAGAGAGAGAGAGAAAAGTGCGCACATGGTCTTTTATTTATTAGGATGAGTCTGTATGTTATTTCCATAGCTTCTGTTTTAAGGTGAAGGTTCATGAAAGTTTCTGTTGTGTCTGTTATAGTGTATTTCCTACACCATTGGATTTTGTTGTATAATGGGGATGAGAGTTTTTGTACTAACTTTTTGTGAATTTTAAAAAAAATTTCGTGTTAAATTATTTCGTTGCTTTCTAATATTTGTAAGCATTGTGTGTATAAGGGACTGTATTTTTGTCCTATGTAATGTGGAGTTACATTATTGTTGTTAAAAGTTTCATAATTGTACCAGTAATCATCTTGATGTTAGCGATTATCAAGTGATGCGATTTATTTAAAATATGCACACAAACTCTTAAACCAAATGGTTTGTATTTAAAAGTTTGCTATAATAAATATATTTTAAGAGCAAAATATGGACCTAAATTACCCCTCAAAGTACACACAGAAAGCCCCGTTCAGTCAGTTAAAATGATATGGATCCTTAACACAATGTAATATACACAAAAATAATCTTTATGAATTACAAATATAAATAATAATGTTTAGCTCCCTTTCTACTCTCTCATACAGTGTACAAGCCGTCTCGGCTAGGCCGTGCACTGGCCTCTGTGAAAAAGGTATCTGTAAAGGGCCGTGACTTGTATATTAATTAAGCAGCATACACCCACCATTGCCCGGATTTATGAAATAATTTTAAAATTTTATATATATATATATATATATATATATATATATATATATATATATATATATATATATATATATATATATATATATATATATATATATATAGTTAAAAATGGATGTTTGAGAAAATAACACATGACCCTAAACCTAACTCTAATTTTAATCTTTTCCGTAACCACAACAAACCAGAACCAAAACCAAAATCCAAACGCAAACAATAACGCAAATGGAAACATTAAAGTAAACATAGAGGACATTTAAGAGCGTCTTCTAAACTTAAATTGAACTAAAAGAATAATTAGTAAACAGAACATTCAGTTTTTTTTTGGTACATTTTTTTCAGTAATTTTTTTTTGTTGTAAGCAATTGAAGTAATTGGTACAAAGGGGCTTAATAAGTTTAATATTTTCAAACAAAATAATACGTTTTGTAAAGGCTAATAAATTTATTTTCATTTTAACTTTTGCACATTACGTCAATTAAAAAGATAAGCTGTAAAATGAAAACTTAATCTGAAAATTATCAATATTGAGTTTTTAAAATCATCAATTTAGATTTTAGTACAAAAATCAACACTTAAAAGATATTATACAATGGGGATCAAGTCGAGTTTTTTTACTATTTACATGTATTCCACAAACATACAGAAACACTAAGTACATTTGAGCTTTATATATTAGATTCTCATACTATTGTAAATCTGTGTCAGTCCTCACAAGCCGGTGATGAAAACTGTAATACTAAAGCGAACACACACAACTGACGCTGTAAATTATATGTCTGAGGCAAAAAAAAAAAAGAAAAAAAAAAAGAGAGAAAAAAAATATATATATATATTAGATTCTCATGAAGCATATTCTAAGAACGTTTCACCTTGAACTGTTTCCTAAAAAACGAGGGGAGTCGTCACAAACTTCTATATTTCTATAGCTCGATCGTACTGTTAGTGCCATTCCTACCTATCGTTATACAAGAGTATAAGAGAAAGTTTAGGGGAGATCACTCCCGTTTTATTTTAGGCACATAATGTTCATCTTTTGTTTCTTACTCAGCGGTAGAACATTTAAAGCTGCTTTAAATTTTCTACGATAAGTTTTGCTAAATATAGGCAAATCAAGCCATTCCTATAATCTATTTCCAATTTATTTATAAAACTAGCAATATAATTACACGAAAAATTTAAGAATCGATTATTGATTTTGAAATCAATAAATGTTTAAATAATACGTATTTAAATATTTAAATAAAAATTTTTGGCTTTAACCCGCGTATGTAAGTCCTAACAGTACCTGGACTCAATGGTCAAACCACATGATCTAGGCTACTTACAGTGATCTATCGTGAGTCGCTATCTCCACATGAATATGTATGCATTTAGCTGTTTTGTTTAACCCTTAACATTGTCGAGATCTGGCTATTCAAAAAGATTTAGATACTAATTAAAGCTTGTATTCTAGGGCAGGGGTCGGCAACCTGCGGCTCGCGAGCCGCATGCGGCTCTTTTGATATCAAGATGCGGCTCTCCAGCTCCTTGCACAAATACTAATAATCTTAATAAACAAGTTAATTAAATAAACCGGGAGTGATCTCCCCTAAACTTTCTCGAATATTCTTATATAAAATAACAGGGGATGGGAACTCGGGCTATAGACATGATTTTTAATCCATTTTAAATACTTAAAGTTTTAAAAATAGAATAAAATCTCGTAGACAAATTAATTGCACACCAAGTGAACGCCCAATAAAAAAGCGCATAATAGTGCGCAATATTATTAGTACTTTTAAAATTTACATTAGTTTTTTGAGAAATCGGAAGTAGCGTAAATTACTACTTCCAGTCAACGGAAATTACTCAAAATTTAACAGAATGTAGAGGATTAGATCTTTTACTTACATGTGAAATTTCATTTATCTATCTGAAATAGTACTCAAGTTATAGGCTTTTAAAAAATTCAAAGTAGGAAAAGTACCACTTCCGGTTATCGGAAATCGCTCAAAAGTTGATACGGATCTACGATTTTGATAAAATACTTATATATGAAATTTCATCAACCTAGCTGTAACGGTACTCAAGTTATCGTGTTTACACACGGACAGACACACACACAGACAGACACACACACACACAGACATACGGACAAGATTGCAAAATTATGTTTTTCCGTATCAGTGAGGTGTAAAACGTCGAGATCTGTAAAAATCTCGATTTTTTTTTTTTTTGCACGATTACAATACTTTCTCTATACTACGTATATACGAGAAAGTAAAAAGTCTAGTGACATTTATGCGCAATTTCCTTATGTTATCTAAAAATAGCTCTGACGTATAATGCTGCGGTGCGTTCAAGCTAGAAGAACGATCGGTTTGTAGGTGTTTATGTAATTTTAAAATTTGTGACCGAACGAGAGGATATTTTTGAAAACTTTCTTCGGCAATATTGTTCTAAATTATGGCAGGAATCGATTGGTACATGTTTTAAGTCGCTAAGTGGTCTGGTTGCCGAGATATGGGCCAAAAACTGAATTTTTTCGAGGTTTTTTGGCTTTTCCGGGAAATACATGAAAGAAACCCGGAATTTTTATAACCTATGCTCATTCTCGTAACTTGCTTAACATAATTGCTTTTGGAACTAGTCATCTATATTGCTTCGTTGAGGAGGAGATACGACTTAAAGCCCGGACACACATTCATCCATACATTCATACATTCATCCATCCATTCCCAGAAATGACGAGTTAATAAACGCAATTCTCCAGAATGGAAATTGCGCTAAAAAATAAAATATTTGAAATAAAAAAAAATGTTAGTGGCTCTTTAAAACCAGGGAAGTTTTGAAAATTGTAACTTTTGGCTCTTCCGCTTCAAAAGGTTGCCGAACCCTGTTCTAGGGTCTTGTGTAGTTCAGTAGCGTAGCGAGGGGGGGGGGGGGGCGGGGTGGACATATGTACCCGGGCGCCGACCTTAGGGGGCGCCAAAATGGGTTGGAAAAATAAATTGATAGGTTGAGGGGGGTGCAAATCGAAAGTTTGAGGGGGGGGGGGTGCAAATCGAAAGTTTGAGGGAGGTGCAAATCGAAATCTCGAGGGGGGATGCAAATAGAAAAGTTTGTCCCCGGGCGCCGGGAAGGGTCGCTACGCCTGTGGT